TGTTGGCTGGCCTTACTTAGGATTGGGCGTACCAACTTCGCCAAATGTGTCTCAGAGACAGACTGTGATGCGCTCAAGCATTTCAAACACGTCTTGGAGGAACGGCCGATGCGAGTGGTGAAAGACGCTTTGGAGCCTGAGGATTACGAGGAGAATGGCAAAGTGTTCCCAGACGCTCCAGTCATTGTAGCTCAGCTGAAATGCAAGTTGCAGTAATTACGGGTGGTCCAGTGGTCCCATGATTCTGTGTCCAATTTTCGGCTGAATGTCTTTCATTCGGTCACGATTCTCCCTGGAAGCTTTAACCGCATTTTTCTGTTTTCATAGGCCTTGACTTCATTTTACACCATCGTCCATCCATCGACTCACTGGACCACAAGAGTCTCATTTGTGATTTATTGTGGTGCCCACCACCCACTGCTGACTTGACTCCATGGGTGATTGACTCATTCAATGAATCTGAAAATTCCCAGCAATCTTTGGACCAGTGCCATGTTTTATTAGCAGTAGAAGGCAGGCGGAAGGCAGATGGTAGACAGAAGAAGTGAAAAGGTGAAATTGTTGAATTGACTTGTTGCAACCGAGCCAAGACCAAGGTCCGACGGGGCAGACATGTGATCAAGATGTGCACCGAGGGGGCTCAGAGCTGCAAGAAACTCTTGGATAGGTCCATCGGTGAGTTCAGCGACACGTTGAAGAGCAGCCCGGATGAGCGGTGTTTGGCCTTGATCAATGACAATGATGCGGCGGACTCGACCCATGCAGTCTTCAGGAGCATCCTCCCAGAAGATTCATGGAAGGAATTCTTCATTCAGGTGGCTGGATGGTGGGTCGGTGAGTGAGGAGTGTCTTCTGTTTTAAGCTGCGACTGCAGTTTTAACAGATGTTTGTCTTGTGACACATCAGTCACTTTACCCTTAGTTAGCAAGTGAGTTGAGGAGTGCCCCTGCCCGAGGACTTAGCCCAGTCTCACTTTCCACTTCCCATGATTTCCATGGTTTCCCGCTTGCTTTCTCCGTATTCAGTGAGTTCAATGTGTCAGCCTGGTCATTTCCGATTTCGAATCGTCATCCCGGTTGGAAACAATTGTTTCGATGATGATGGTGATGATGGTGATGATGATGAGATGAGTCTTCACTCCAGACTTTAAAGGATCCTGACAAACTTTGAAAACAGGACGATGATTTAAACGCGGCTGCCAAAGACATGGAGGATGATAGTGGAGATAAAGCTTTGGCTGCCGTTCGTGGGCTGTGGCTCTCGGGTGCCAGGGAGTCGGCGGTGTATTGTGGAGTTGAGGCACAGTCTTTGCCTACTGTGAGGTTGCAGGCTCGGTTCCCGAGTGTTCATGTCGAGCTTACAATGCCAACTTTCCTTGGCTATTTGTTGATGGCAGTTTTTTGATTTATGAATAGCCAGGCACTGCTAGCCTAGGTTAACTAGCTGGCCAGACTTGGGCTAGATTTCAGAATCCAGGATGTGTTGCGCAAGCATTTTTGAACTGTCGGAATGCTATGTTGTGGCTGCTGCACCGGGTTTCCAGCAAGCAAGCTGGTTAGAAGTTCACGTTCCCTCATTCCAGTTTTTGTTCAAGAAGAACTCTAAGAAGAAAGCATCAGTGACGAAATCAGATCAGAATCCGAATTCAAAATTGTGTGCAGGTGACGGGTGGGAAACTGCTGGTTTGCTGCTGCGCCAGAGAAGCTTCCAAATTTTGGCAGACTGAGAGTTTGCCTGAGCTTCGTACCAAACTGATGAACATCCAAGCGAAGTCCATTCCAGATGCTCTGATGTTACCTTCCTTTTGTGCGCAGCAGGTTCGGACTGGAGACTTGGTACTGATGCCAGCAGGCTTTCTAGTACTTGAAAAAGCTATCCACGACAACGACATCGGGATCAGGTGGGACGTTTTTGATTGCTTTCTCCGTTAACATGTTGCCTATATACTCCATTTAGATGGGCGAGTGCTCACTCAAGTGATTAATTAGGCTCAGATCAGACGCTTTTGGGTGAATGGAAACAGTGCAATGAGCAGAGTCAACTTCAAAAGACGTGGCCATGAACCATGGAGTCATCATTGGTTCTCATTTGTGGCATGCGCGTATGTCTGCGTCTGGTGCAGATTCTTTGGAAGACATGTCCCAGATCAACGGAATGCTGCCTTACGTTTTGTCTCTGACCAGGCGAGGTGGTTACTGGCTGAATGAATGTGGGCATGTAAGAGGCAATCGAATCACCGGCTTTAGTATTCAATTAACTCACCCACCTCACATTTCAGTTTTGTGTGTCAGTTTTGACCAGACAAGAGTAGACTAGAGTAGACTAGACTAGACCGCACTACAACACACTTGTAAAACAGAATGCTTGTTCACGAGGCTCACACCTGCTAGTGAATTTGCTCTTGATAGGCCGTTGGAACGTGTCAAAAAATAACCCATTGAGTGCGGTCGCCGCTGTGAGTGATTGATTCTTGCATTTTGCTTGCGGTTGCAAGTCATCTGTGTGGAATGTTGAACCAAAATGCCCACCGGACATCTTGGCTCAAGCAAACCCCAATTTGTTTCCATCCTGGATTCAATTTCGAAGAACTGGTTGCTTAAATTTTAGAACTGTACAGATACAGTGTGATCAATCACAGATACAGGGAACCAGGACAAACTGGCACCAACCACTGCGCAAGACAAAAGAGTGAAGGTTGGTGCTCAGATGACTCTTGTGTGAAAAGGACATTTCTTCACACTTACATACATATCCCAAAATTTTAAAAATCATAACGGGTACGTTTGACTGATCAGGTCAGATATCACCAGCACTCATCCAGTGTCTTCGTTGGTGCAAGACTGGATGGGCTGCTTGCACCCCCTGCCCTAAAACTGACAAACTGAACAAGTTGTGAATTTGTAAATCCCTTGGAAGCAGGCATCAGGCAACAGGGGTTGACCCCACATACACACACACACATATCAAGTATTTGATTGAATCTCAGAACTAACTCAGAAGACATTCAGAACGTACATGCATCGACATGTGACCCATGCTCATGCATGCCCATCTTCTTGAATGTCTCGAAGGTGTATGTTGATTTTGGGTTGCCGTCGGTCGGTCGTCCGTCGTTGACGGCCAATGACCAGTGAATTGCATATGGTGGCATCTGCTGTTTCGATTTTTTGTGGTTAGAAGATGTTAGAAGTTCAGATGTCAAAAGTTTGTGTTTTGAGTTTTGTTTTGCCGGCTACTGGTGACTGGTGGCTGGTGGGTGGGCTGGGCTGGCTGGTTGCTGGCAATTTGGCAGGTACGCTTGAAACCCTACACTGAGCTCTTCCTGAGGATCCTTCCAGAAGTCAAGATTCCAGCAATCATGCCCAGTCTCTTGGACAGGGCAGCAGCCAATGCAGCGAAAGAGGAAGAAGAATCGGAAGCTGAGCCTACGCAGGCAGTCACAATTCGCCACGATGCTACACAACCACCGGTGTTGTCTCCCTCAACTGGCGAAGCTGCGCGACTAGTGCCGTCTGTCCCAATTGGCGATGCTGCACCACCAGTGCCTTCTGTCCCACTTGGAGATGCTCAAGAGAAAGATGTTGCCATGAATGGTGATGATGCCAACAAAGAGAAGCCGACGCATGATGATGCACATGATGACAATGCCAGTGAGCAGGGCGTGCCTGAGAATGTGCACCATTCTACTCCCGTTGAGGCTCCTGATGCAGAAGAGGTTCCCACGATGGCCGTGGGTGGTCAGCCGCAAGAGGAAGTGGAAGAGACGAAAGCAAATGAAACAACCGATGCCACGGAGAAGGCGGATTTCACCCAGGCAGTGGAGCCCGTCGCTGATGAGAAAGCAGGAGATGACCCCACCATCGACAAAGTCTTGCCCAAGAATAGCAAGTCCCCGAAGAAGGACAAAAAGAGCAAAGAAAAGAAGGACAAAGATGGTGGCCTGGACAAGGAGATGAGGTCCGACAAGGGCGCTGCACGTGCTGCTCCGGCTGCTGGGAAGCAAAAAAAAAAGAAGGAAGTCCCCGCTTCTCAGGATTTGAGTTCGATGTTTGCTAAGAAGCAGAGGACTTCGTGATTCTGATCTGAGATGTGGATCATCGCGATTGATCCGGTTTTGATTTGAGGCTGAGGCCATACCCGACAAAATGGATTAGCACACAACTTTACATGGGCCTGACGGACCTTTTTGATTTAGATGTCGACCCGAGTCACTGTCTCAGCGGTTGCCAGTGACTCCTAATCCCTGTGAGATGCAACAGATTCAGCTTTAACCTGAAACATCAGACATTTCTGTGGGAAGTTTTAGAAGTCTATAGAATTGGACGTCATGCATGTCGATGTGTTTGCTGGAGAAGTTGCAGGGGGGACACTTCTTTTGACCCGTGTCATTTCCCAGTGACTCCACTCTGTCAGTTGCAACAGGTTGTTCCAGTTTCAGCACCAACTCATTGAAAGATTAGGCATACTTGGAAGAAGTGGAAGCCATCGACTACATTTGTTTGTGATTGAATTTCTTGATACTATATTATTATATTATACCAGTTTTTCATGGATAAGTTGCAGGGAGACAGAGGTTTTGTCTTGACACCAGCGAGGTGAGCAGCGAGGTGCCATCAAGGGGAAAAAAGTCATCAGCGTGTTAGGGGCTGCCAAGTGGTCCAGGAATCTCAAGAAATCACTTGAGATATCATCATTGACACGTGTGGAAAGGCAGCCTTTCATAAAACCACCAGGGTTTGAATCTTGTACGTTGGGATGTTTTTACCCCCAGGTAGTTTTCAACACTTATTCCTGGCCAGAGCGTTTTCCACCACTTATTTTCCTTTAAAAGCTTGGGCTCACGAAATTCAACATGCGGCCACCTTCCCATTAGTGTTTGACACACCCTAGGGTCCTAGAATTGGTGAGCGAATTTCCCGGAACCTCCTGTACAATCAGCAAGTTTTTCCAGTGAGAACACGTGAACATTGTGGTTTTCCCCCCTTTTTTGTCGCTGAAAATCACGGGGTGACTCTCCGAGCGGCGCTGGACAGCCGTCCACGCAAGAGGCATGGCTTCGTCGTGACGGTGACGCTGAGGTCGTGCAAGCAGACCTGATGTCGCTGGCCGCTTTCATGATGGCTGGAAGATGCCAGATCCCAATAGACCCATAAAAAAAACGGTTTTTGTTCAAGGATGTTTAATGGAACTTCCCCGAAAAAATAGGGAGCTTTGTAGATGGGACACTCATCCAAGTGAATGATGGATTGTACAGCATGTTTGAATAACGAAGAGTAAAAAACAACCAGATTATATCCTACTATACTCCAGTTATGTAAGAAATATATTGACATATCCCGAGTTATGTATGGGATATATTCTGCTCCACAAGAGTTTGGTGATGTGAAGTGGAATATGCTGAGATATGCTCTTCTATCTGTCCTTCCGTCTAATCATTGGCTATCCATCAATCTAATGATCAATCAATCCATCTAGAAATCCAGATGCACACATGAACTGTATGTATATGATATTATGTGCATACATTTTTTTTTTAAATACCTACACCACACACACACACTATATATATATATATGTATGTATATACAGAACGAATATAATATGTATATTACATTGCTATATATATATATATTGTATGAGTATACCATTTCCAAACTCAAACACATAATTATCATATGAAGGTGGTTATATATATATAAGTTACACATATATATATATATATGTGTGTCCCACTATATTTCCATTGAACCCAAATAAAATGGACAAATATCATGTCCCCGTGATATTTCTCACCATATCCCCGGGCTCCCTCTGGGATCATGGAGTGTGCCAAAAGCCCGCGCCTCCATCCGTGCCAGAACACGTTTCACCTAGGCTTGGAAACCTAGTTGGGGTCTGGGCACTCGCCGGCCCTAACCAATCCACCAGGTGTTGTTGATCCGGAGTTGACATTCAACTGTCACGGCTTGACCATGGTCACTGTCCATGTTTCTCTGTGAAATCCCAATGATTTGTTGGTAAATTCCTCATGTTGGTGAAGTTTAAATCCAATCGCTTGGGTGCGTGGTATGATGTGATGATATACCATGCTTGTTGCCAGGTTACAAGCGATGTCAATCTTAAACTTAATTGATTCTGTACATTGATCATGTGTAAAAAGGGCATATATATATATATATACATATATATTATATATATATATACAGCCTATTTTGTAAATCCGGTGGCATTTTTTGGCATTTGTTGACCCAAATCATCCCATGATCCCTGCGCGATGCCGAGCCCCAGACTAGGCGGGATAAGGTTTCGATCCCTTCCTCGGTGTACCTGCGGTAAGTAGCATGCATAGCATGCAACGCATAGCGCTTCACGTCTTTTCGTTGAATCAATGGATTTACCACGGGGTTTTCATTTTTCTGTGATTTAAGTCATGAAAAAATATGAAAACTACGTTTTTACCCGCAAACCTTGGGATTTCCTGATGATCAATGGATTGCTTTCAGGGAAAGTCTACAGGAAACCATAGATTGTACCACCAACACTGTGACTTTCCAACTTTAAGTTTCAACCATTTCTGGGAAACTTCTTGCAGCAAACTTGCCGATAGGTGATTCATGGTGATTCTATTGACAATTGTCCACTGGTGAAGACGCCACTCTGGAAGTGGCGCCTGAAGGCATCCATCATTTGAATCCGTTTGATCACTGATCACTATAGAAGATACCCTCTGGTAAACTAACATAATCATGGAAAATCACCATTTTCAATGGGTAGATCAACTATAAATGGCAATTTTCAATGGCTATGTTAAATTACCAGAGGGTACCCGAAACCAATGGTCCCCGTATCAAATACTTCAACTCATCCGGCGGATCAACGAACTCTGCAAACCAGAGTAATTACAAGTCTTTCTGGTGTTGAACGTAGGGAATGGTGGAATGGGATGATGGTGTAATAGTTATTATATATATGATAATAATATATTATAATTCCCCAGTCCCTACTAGGCATCAGCAAAGACCAGTCCCTTTTTCCACTCTGCTCATGTCGGGAAAAACCGTACCAGGATCCCTGCCTGCTGGGGCGTCTTTGTCCCCAATCCAGGGTGCGGTGCGCAACTTGGCAAGATCCAGTTCCACCTACTACCCTCTTGTAATTTCACATAGCTATGGAAGCGATGGTCCACTGATAGATGATTTACCTAAATATTATAATATGTATATATATATATATATGTATATATCCGGAAACATATCCATGAACAACCACTAATAACAACTATATATTATATATATCTTATCATCCCAGTGTATGGTGACGTCATTCGAAATTCACCGACCATCAGCTGCCATCAGCTGCCGCTGGCGTTCGTAGAGGACCAAAGCCACAGCGTGGGAGATGTTCAGGGAACCTGCGATGGCGGAGCTTCCTTTTTTGTTAGGAGACCTGGGGATCAAAATGATAAAACAGTAAACACTAGACACACACATGCATATATATATATATGTATAAGATATAATTAATAAGATACACCAATCATGTTATGTATATACAGTATATATGTATTAGATTTATATTAAGTGTGGGTATTGGATCAATATGAACATAATAATTAGGGTAAAACAAGAGAAATGGGATAGATCAATGCTTCTTTTCACGGAACAGCACCAGCCAAAGTTCACGATTAAAAAAACACTAGCTGATCTAAGATAGCCAAAAACTAATGTTAATGATAATTAATGAGGATTTACTATAGTACCCTCTGGTGAACTAACATAGCAATGGAAAATCACCATTTTTAATGGGAAAATCCACTATAAATCCATTTTCAATGGCCATGTTAGTTCACCAGAGGGTAGATGTTGCTTTGAAGGCAAGATGTCCCATGACACCTCCTTTCTCTCCATGGTTTTCCCGAGGCCCTGGGTGGGTTCCCCCCAGCCGCCTTTGCCCAGCGTGGGGATGGAGATCAACTCATCACAGCTTTCGGCCACTTCCTCATGTTTCCAGGATGGTCAGAGATATTTATCCTGGAAGTATGGACCATTTACTGACCATTTACTGACCATTTACTGACCATTTATGGTTATACTGGATAAATATGGACCATTTACTTCATATTTCATATTTATCCAAGAAAAAATGCTCATCCAGCTTTCATATTTCCAATTGTTCTATCTGTTCTATCCGGCTTGGCGGCTGTATGCATGTATGTGTCTGTTCTGTTTATGAGTAAATCCATGCGTACATTCTTTGATTGTGGATAAATGGATAAGATTGATCTGATTTGATGTGCTTTGAGATAGACAGGACAAAGTAAAAACACCAGATACAGTATAGTAAACGTCATTGCTCCTTGTATCAATCTCCGTCGGGTTACCCGTTACCCTCCATGGTTCAATGCTGGTTTTCACGGCTGCAGCGGGACCGATGAATCATCACATCCCTACTGTTCCACCATCCACCAGGCATCAAAGGGCACTCCAACATCTTCAGCACCAAAGACGAAGGCTGCTGCACCGCACAGATTCGCTTGCTGCAAACCTGAAAGGTGGCGTTGCAGGTCATCCATTACCGACACTTGCAGAATGGGAATCCTTAGAGGTGGCATTCAAATCCATCGAAATCTCTTCTGTGTATATATATATATATGATATTATATGATTATGTATGTATGTGATATGGGTTTAATGATGATAATCTGATAATCCCTATGATCATGTGATGATCATTGAATCATCAAGAAGATAATTCTCTGATTTCTTTCGGTTTGATCCAATCGATTTCGACCTCCAATGGTGTTCATATATGTTAATATCATAACCTGGGAATCAACTGGGATGGAATTAATAATATATTCATATATATTTAAAAAAAATCATGGGGTTGATGGGATAACCATTCGAGAATGATACATATGTATATTATGATGCAACCATTGATCTAGAAAGGGATTGCGAAGGTAGATTCTGATGGCATAATCGGTTATTGTAAGATCATGACCATGATGGTGCATTATAAAGACAGTCTGTCCAGTCTGTCTCTCCGCCCTCTCTTTACGAGTGTGACTTGGCAACGAACCATCCAATAATATCATGGTTCCCCTTCACATCTCCACTGAAAACCACACCAGTCCTTGCAACATCAACCGCTCGTCTAAACCGGCAAAAAAAGAAAAACGACAGCAAAGGACAGGAAGCATCTTGATTCATGAGTTTTTCAGCTGCCTGCACCCTTAAAGGTGGCCCCTCCATTGAAAAGACCTTGAAGGGTTCCCATAACCGGTAACCCCGAAATAGCAATTTCTGCATCTGTGAACTGGTTGGTGGCGATGAGAGGCCCGCTGTGTCCTGAGGGAGGCAGCCTATGGTATCCAACTTTTGCCACTGGTGGACGGATACCACATGGTTTTCAGCCGTCAAATTCCCTACATCGGCGTTGGCACACAAGGACAAAATTCTGTGCTCTGCATGTAATTAAAACAGATTCACTTGCCTATAATCTATTGCTTCAGTACTGTTATATAATTATTGTCATCATCGCTATGATTGCGAAATTGCCCTCATCCCGATCCCTTTCAACAGCATTCTCACCATCAACATGCCATCAACCAAAGGACGTGCACACTCCTCGACACGGCCAAGCATCGGTTTCAACGCAAATTCTTGTGTAGTTGTACCTTTTGAAAGCGTCCTTGGATCTGTGTCTAGCCATGGCTGAAACTAGCACAGGCCAACTCTGGGCAGCTTCAAATCTAGCTTCATATGGAGCAAATCAAACCATGTTAAATTGATGTCGAATTGGCGCGAAGAAAAACTGAAGACTTTCCTTTGACGCGCCGACCAATCCATGTAAGTCCATTTGCTGCTAGCACATATCGCGGCATAGTTGCTATATACTAGACCTTTCCACATGTTTATGTCTATATGTACCTAATATAATATGTATATCCGTGAACTAGATTGTCCGTGAACTCAATCGGCAATTATATGCAATTATTGAACAAAAGGTGTCCCGTTTCAAAAGGTTTCAACCACTCCCCACATCTTCAGAGTTCAGGCACCAACACCTGCATCGTCGCCGGCGTCGCCGTGGCCGCCACGCGCAGGCGCCATTGGTGCCGTTGCGCCATGGAAATGCGCAGCGCTTCTTCAAACCTGCTGGCCTGCCGCGATCTAAAGGGAGACTATAATCCATGGAGTTACAATCCATATTAAATCATATTAAATCATTGAACCAAATATCAAATCCCATATCATCCCATATCATCCCATATCCACAAAATCCCATATAGTATCAATATGTATCAATCATATAGTTGTCAGAGCTATAAGGACCATGATCAACTATTATTAAGTATTATTAAGTATTAACCATGATTATTAACTATACTATATATATACACTCTTATATACAATTATAAACTATCATATGAACTGTATATAAGTTATAGTGATTAATGGTTATCCCACCATATGCTCATCATGGTTATCCCACCATGGTTATCCCACCATGGTTATCCCACCATGGTTATCCCACCATATGCTCATAATCATTGGGTATGGGTCAAAACCCTGGTACCTAGTGAACCCCAAAATAGCTGGTAAATGGATGTTCATCCCACTAAAAATGTATCTCATATGAACTATAACCATGATTAACCAGAGCAGCCCCTATAGACTCTATAGACCATCCCACCCCACCTGCTCCGCCACGCCGCCCAGCAGTACCGTGCCCTGAGCGCCCAGCAGCTGCGCACAGCGCAGCGCGGCGCCCACGTTGTGCGCGAAACGCACGTGGTGCAACAGGACCACGCTAGGACTGGGGACCTGCAGGGAGAATCCGATGTTAATCGAGATTTCATCGAGATCATATGGGGTTTTAAGGAAATTATATGGGATTGTATAGGGTTTTCCAGGGAATTCACAGGGTCTATATAAGTCGACTTTTTGCGGATTTTACAGGACTTCAATCCCCATCAAACAGATTACCCAGCGCATCTTTTGCCTCGTCCAACTCCCGCAGCAGTTCCTCCACCCCTGTGAAAATCCGCACGGGTGCCGCGTCCCGCACAAGGCGCGCCCATTCACGAGACGATCGGCTGGGCGAGTTCGCCAGACGCCGCATGAAAACCACACTGTGAATGGATAGATTTGTGAGGTTGATTATGGTTAATGGTGGAGAGTGTGTTATTGATTAATGAGGATGGATTGATAATGGTTAATGGGAATTCATATGGATCCATGAGGTCATTAATATCAACATATCAATCCATAATCAACATATCAATCCATATCAATAATGGATCCATAATTAATGTTGATAATTTTAATTATGGTCAATTCCCAATGGGGTTGTTAAGATGGCAAGTCTAGAAACTGTTGATGAGTTCCCGGTTCACGTTTTTCTGGGGTTGCTGCTTAGAATGGCCTTTTGGCACGTTCATGAGCAAAGCATGAGTGACAACAGAACTCAAGCTTCCAGCAGATTCATGCTTGAGTTCCGGGCTGAATTCTGAGCCAAACATGGATGGGATACTAACTGTACAAGAACTAGCTCTGCAAAAAGACTTTGGCAAAGAATTTTCAGAAACAAACATGGCATCTGTTTCTGCTAAGTGTCGCTAAGACAATGCCATGACAACAGTATATACTTCAGAAGGTCTTGTCCACACAGCATGGCCAAACTCCCAGCAAAAGCAGATTGAAATCGAGCTGGAGATGTGTGCCATGGTCAAGTAACATGAGATGTGGTATGGCCATCATCCCCCTGCTATGGGAATCTAAACATGATGGCCATCTATATACATCCCTGTTCATGGATTGATGACCAGCCCACAAGCCAACTTTTGACTGTTGTTGGTTTTATACTGTTTATATTGCTGGCTATATTTCCTATTTATAGTTATTCTGCATATATATATATATATATATAATTATATATGCACATTAATATATTATATTACCGTCTGGTTGGTGGTGTTCTTTTCCGTTATATAATTCGGTATATCCTTATTTTTATCCCTATGAAAAAACTGGGGGGCTTGATGAGGGCAAATTTGCCCAAGTACTTTGCGACAACCAGGTTGAAGGAAAAAAATCGATGGGCTGCTTCTCTGCTTAACACTTAATCCCTGAAATGGTAAATAAATGGAATGCAACCTACTAGGCTACCAGTTCTTAAGTACTTAAGAGACGGTGAGTAAATGGGCTGTAATCTACAAAAATGACTCTGACAGTTGTAAAGTTGTGACCATACATGCTAAGCTACTTCTAAAAAAATGCACTCAAATCAAGGTACAGCATGTGACAACCTGGTAACTGGACGGGAACTATAAGCATTGATGGAAAACAGTATTCCACAAAAACAATCCCAGGAAACCCCACCCATTATTCAGCTATCAATCGGGCTTCCAATTTTGTTTGAACGTCGACGCACCCAAAACCAGTTTTCCAATGCATCAAAACCTCGTACTTCCCCCACCCCACAAAATCTTTGGAGTGTAAATCTGCAATCTTTGCAGTCAATCTCACTTCCAATATCATTTGGCATTATGATATTTTATAATTTGTGTCTTGTGTATTATGAATTTCTCTAAGAAAACAACAAGCTTAAATAATATCCATGATTATCCATATATCATTACATCATTATCCGATTGGATGGTACTTAAGATAACAATTTCGGGGATAGCCATTCCAAAGCCACATGTCATCTCATCCATTGTCATCCCATTGATCCCGTGCCTGCTTTCCTCCTGGGTCCTGTTGGGTGCCTCCCAAAAAACGCTGTGACAGTCCGTCCCCTCTTTGTACACGAGGCCATTCATTTTAAATGCACTGATTGAAAAAGACGTCCAGGTCTATCAGGCACAGTCTATATTAAAATTAATCAGTCTATAAATACACAGGTATATTATAGTGTAATATATTGTATAAATGCCATGAATATTAAACAAGACATGCACACAGCGGTTTTTCATAAATCCGTGACAGCCAGCTCCCCCAATTGCGGTTACCCCCTGATTGTTGGGGGGTCACAAAGGGGTTACCGCAATGGGGGTTGGCTGAATCCCCATATATCATTGATATCATCATACATCCATGCGAGGTGTACTGTATACTGTACATTTCTTTGAACTGTGACATGTTCAACACATTTGGATGCGTCTTGTTTGCTACAAGTCCCCTAGTAGAGACTTTCAAAGACGTACAAGTCCCGGGTTTCACTTCTCAAATGGGCAAAGGTTTCAATTCCCTGGTTGAGGTCTAGGGACACGAGCACGCACAGTCTCCTGAAAATGACAATCCGTGGACGACTCAAAATTCATAACATGACAACGGAGGAGACCTGGATTAACCACCAAGAACGCTCATTCGGCAGGTGGTTCAGGGGAATCTCTCAATGAGAGGCGACATCGGCATCGCTGTTTGAAGTTCCTACCACTTGGCGGCACCTTTCTCTTGACCTGCCATATCAAAACCCTCTGGATGTTCGTTCATGTTATGCATCACCAGACATGAGTGGAACAAACATGAACAAGCCATACCCTCTGGTAATTTAACATAGCTATTGAAAATGGTCATAGAAGTAGTTGATTTGCCTATGAAAAACGGTGATATTCTATAGTTTTTGTATGTTTACCAGACAGTAAATCCCATTGAAATACCATAACAAATCCCACTAAAGTCCATTAAATACCATTAAAAATCATCAGCTATGGCATTTTTTTACCCACATTAAGTCCCAACATGCTGACTGCTGACTATCAATGTTTTCTGAAGCGTCGTCTGTCGGCGTCGTCCATCGGCCGCCTCGTGGAAGAAACCTGCGAGAAAGCTCACTCACAACGGTCAACGTTGGATGTATTTGGGTAAACATATGATTTCATTAGATATTAATATCATATCATTAATATTAGTTATGAATGTTGGATAGTTGTGAATATCATGACATATGCAGTTGGATGCATTCATTGGATATTGACAGTTCTGAATAATCCACATACTAACAAATGGCTAATGATACTTATCAATCACTTCATGATATTAATAGTATTTAACAGGTATCAATCATATTATGAATGATTATAATATAGTTGTCAATGATCAAACATATTCATTACACATGATTACCGTCTGATATAAATGATCAGTCAAATCAATTGCTGACATATATACGTATATATATATATACGTGTATATATATATATATATACGTATATATATATATACACGTATATATACATATATATATATATGTATGTATGAATGGTTGTAACCGACTTAGATGGTCTGGGTCGGGGCATGTTTGGTTCTAACTAAGGTCAGGAAACGTCCCTGGACTATGTGGGATTGGCTGATGGGGGCCAGTGGGTGACAGGTTGTTTATGATATGAAACCCTAAACCCCAGATAGCTCTATTATGGAAAACCAGGGTTTTCCCTCAGACAAGCCGTAAAAAACTTGAGCTGTAACATAAAACCTGTAACATAAAACCTGCTCTTGGCATGTTTTGAAATGTTTTGTTTGACATGTAGTATGGCCATCTCATAACTACACCAACTCATGTATAATGATGCAAAACCTTGTAAAATCAGACCTTTCACCACTCCACCCATGGTAAGCCGCTCTCCAAATAAATAACCATCAGATTTGGGGTTTCCAACTTTTGAGACTTTTCAAGCCCAAAACCCAATGATCGGAACGCTGCTGCACTCCTCTCTGCATTCCATTTTCTCTCAAGTAACCCAGATCATGCGAAGCTCCAAGAACTCTCCCGTTTTGGGTATGGCTGGTATGGCTTCAAAATTGGGTCCCGTGGTCACCAAAACAGCTGGCAATCATCTCCCCGCAGTCTCCGTCAAGAATAGCCCAGCACTTCTCGATACTTCACATATTCTGCATAGAGATCCGCGGGTGTCAAAGGCAAAGCTGCTCTCGCGGCCTCTGGAAATTATGAATCACCTTTTTGGGGATCAAGGCAATGTTGTTTTTTGAATAATGATACCCTGACAGGAAATGATGAATTTCGACGAAATGGTCACGACTGAATCACTTCTAACAAGAATTTCAGGCACGAAGCCACGAAGCTGCGACATGAAAACATGCGCAAAAACAAACATGTTGGGCAATGGTCATGTTGGTTCTCAGTCCACGTGTTTAGTTGTGGTAAACCCAAGAATTTTTAGCTCAATAAAACTCACCAAATTGGGGATGGTTTATACCATCCTGGGTCCATCCCACACGGGTGATGCTTCTATATCCTGATATATGTTATATGATTGATTCTAATATATTAATCAAAGCAATATATGTATATTTATATTTAATTATAATTATATCTCTATATATACACCCTGCGGCAAACATAGCTGCCTCCAAAGTCCCCTATTGGACAATCATCGAGCGCTGGGGGGGTTGGCCATGTTTCATGACTAGGGTGGGGTATCCGTATCACATCGTATCACCCTGGATCCGAAGGGATAGGTGCGATTCGCACCATGCTTCACCTCCATGTCAGCTTCGTCGTTGGTGTGGTTGAATCTGTTCTCCGCGGAGATGCCCAAATCTGAAGCTCGGTGCAGATCCTCCACTCGAACAGCCCTTCGGATCTCTGACTTCTGGAGCTCCGTAATCCTTGGGATTTCTGTAAAACGGGGCCGCAAAAATCTTCAAAATCTTCCCCGATACCGATAGATACCGATACCGCATTTCTCGTGGATTCACTGGATTCACCACAGGAAAAATAACAATTCATCAACAAATCCAAGAATCTCATCTCCAACTAAGAATTCCATAATCTTCCTGGCTGGGTCTTGAAACTTGAGAATCTGAGGATTGACCGGCCCGAAACCTGCTCGAATCATAATCCCTTGAATCAAAAATAGGTTGTTTGAACCATTGAACCATCACAAACATGATGTTTTGGCGGATATACTACCATACAAACAACCGACAAACAACTCTTGTTCAATCCTTTTGAAATGCATGGGTTTGTCCGGAAATGGATCATGGCCGCAATCCATGGCCATTTCAGTATAAGGAACATGTTGTTGTGAAGCATGGGATTCATCTCTTTTATTTTTCAGGGCTAACCCCATATTTTTTTTAAATAACCCACATCCATAGAAAGCCAATCCCTTTTACCCGTCAGAGGGTAACATCCAAAAGGGTCTGAAGACACCGACCAGTCATATCATATCCAGTCATGATATCTTGGATCATTAGTTGGAATCACCCCCATCATCCCCATAACTGGACCTGGTAGGTTTGACTCAACCAGGAGTTAAACTGGGCCTCCTGTGACACTGAATCTTCAAAATTGAAAGAACATGAAAGAACTCATAGGATTATCATAAGCATGTGACAGATCAAGTCATGTTTTGACTAACTTGACTAACTCTATCAACATCATAGGCTGGAGGTTAGAGGTCCACAAAAACAACAAGAGAAAGGCGTCGTCAAAAGTTCCGCTAGGATTCTCAACGCTGGCGTCAAAGTGCTCAGGTGAATGAGTTAAATGCTCATAGCGGACCACCAAAACATGCGGCGCACTCACTTCCTTGTGGGATACGAGCTACCGATCATTCCGATACTTCGAAAGTCATTTGGGATCTCATTTTAGGGAGAGAAGATTACCTGTAATAAATATAATATATGTATATATAACATTATATAATATATCATATATAGACTTCAAACACCATCAAGAAAAAAAAACATAATATGGTCGTAGTCGTATGGTGAAACATTTGGAACCAAAAATCGGCGAAAGTTCACCATCTCCAAGACGGGTACGCAATCCAACTTTTTACGTTGGATATAGTTGGTGATATTAAATGTCCATTCACATCCCATTATATATAAATCAGCATATGTGTTGGCTAAATCTGTCATCCATCACATATTGGGAATTCTACAATGAGTATATACATGAGTCCTACATACTATTACCATGTATCACCAATGTATTACCATCCTTTACGGTAGGTATATAGGCTATATATGGCTACATAGGGTACTGTAATTCAACTAACTTGAAGAATAATCTGGCATATAATCCATCCTCGAATATCCTGGAGCATCCAAATCCGTGAAATGTTGAGGAGTCTCTGCTTTTAAGATTTTAAGGTAACTTCCGCGTTTTAAACGACCACAAGGCTCCTAGACCTGAGCCAACAGAAAGAGTTACTCAATCCGGCATCATGGACATAGAGGGTTAGCCAATCATGTTCAAAAAGGGCCCATGCAAACACTGTGCTTTGCAGAATTGAACCTGTGAACTGGCAGTGCAACGATCTTGACAAGGATATCACCACGCAAAAAACGTCACTTATTGAAGTGCGGGTTTTTGATGATATGTGCAGGTGTTTGAGGATAATTTGCGAGTTTTTTGGCCGATATGTGCGTTTTTTTTTGCGGATAAAGTTGTTTTTTCTCATTTCACGGTCTCCACCTTGGGCCGTGCAATGTCCGATATCTATGAGGAAAAAAAGTTCAAGGATTGCGATGAGGTAAGCCTCCCCAATTAGTTTAGGGTCCTGAAGTAAAGTGAACAATTTCTGTCAAAATCATGACCTTGAAAAACGGGTTTTTGAGGAAAAGCAACCGCTGCATTGCCTTTCAATATCTTTCAATGCATTTTCCAGGGGACTTGGTGAACTGTTCGGTCCAAAGGGCGAGTTTCTCGGGATTTCCAGAAAATGTCAGCAGCTGCAGCATCAAACAGCATTGGTCTGACACAGCACGCAGCTCCAGCACGCAGCACGCGCAACGCTGAGTGCGTTGAAACGCAGGTTCGTCACGTAGTGGGTTTTTAGCATTGTGATATATGTAAATGCATTTAACTAGATCCGGAAAAAAACATCCATACAATTTTTGGACCTTAAAGGGCTAGTAAATCGCAAGTTCGAAACGCATTGGGTTTTATTATCCTATTCATACCTCGGTGCATTTACTTTTCTGTGAAAAAAGCATCCGGTAACGTGCGAATTTCTGCCTGACGTCCGGATGCATTTTGCGCTTCCCAACAAAAGCATCTGGGGTTTCCCCGTTTCCTCCAAAAGGGTAAATTCTTTCAGGGTGTTGAAAAAATCAACGCCACTTGGAGGTACTCGTGTGGCTCTCGTGAATGTGATGAGTATCTCATGATATCTTATGTTTATCGTCATTCCAATGCATTTTTCCTATTCCAATAAAGCCTCCACTATCTAATCTATCTAAATCAAAACAAATAATAAACATATTTACTAGGATGCACACCCGGAAAAATGCATTGCACGTGAGTGCTGAGCACGCGAGTGTCTGACAATTTCGAGGGGTTGGATGCTGGATAGGATTCATCCTGGTATGGCATGGTATTCCAACTAACTTGACCATAGCAGCCATGGCACATACGCTTCTGCCATGTCCTTAATTTCCATCAACATCCGCTTGGCCATTTCGGGTACGCCCTCCTGAAGTCCGCATCAAAAATACAATTTTTTTTGGGGTGTCATCAAACATGGCCGGGAAGTCCTTGCAAAAAAGAAACTTCAATTTTTGCATGTGCCACATCCATATAGCAACCCGGTTGAACCAACACGCAGCAGCTTTTTGCATGACCTGAAATGATCTAAAATGATCTGAAAACGATAGAATCTGTGGTAGGAGCAGCCCAAATAGACAGCAATAAACATGAAAATAACATGAGGTAAGCACCCTTCCCACATCCAGAAGGAAAATCGGAGAGGTCTGTTCCACTTCACAGAACCCAAGCCACATCTCTGTCTCTCATTGTCTCTCCTCAGGGCCCATCTCAGGAATCCCTTTTTCCATGGGGTTCCATGACTCGGCTCCCCGGTGATGATAACAATAGGACGACGCCACCATCTCCAAAGGGTCCCGCACAATCATCACACCACGCAGATCGCCCTTCATGTCTTTGGCTTCCTTCTTCATCTGCAAAATGGCGTCTTTGGAGATGTGGTTGTGAAATCGAATGGGAGCTGGGAACAGCGTGCATTCATTCTCCCGGTTCAGAGAGGTGACACTGTCGCCATGTCCATCATATTGGCAACTCACTGTTGCACCCAGAATGTCAAAAAAATGAGCCATGATGTTCCGCAGCAGTTGGCTGCCAGCTTTGTGGTGTGTTCCCACCACGAAGATGTGTTTGTCCCACGGGTGGGTGACCCGGGTAACGGCAACGGCTCCGACGGTCTCATGTACTAAGAGCTGCTTCTGAAGCAGTGAACTTCCAGCGGGTTCAGCGCTTTCCTCAAGGGCTTCCGGTGCTACAGAGTTGTTCAATGTTGTTGATAAAGTTTATATTTCACCAGGGAGAGCACGTAACCAAAAGAAACAGCAACAAAGGACAATGCATGGACAATGCAGTACAGCAAGTATGATACAGTAATTAGTGAGATTTAGTGAGAGTATTAGGACATGGTTTAAGTGTTTGGGGCTTGGGCCCACAAATCCGGGCATTATTGTTGCTGTTCAACGACTGAAAAAATAAAGGGTTAATGACATTGACCATTGTTAATTTATATACACGATCAGGCTATGTCTTTTATCGTCTTTTGGACACTCTAAGTACACCTGGCCAGCTCAAGTCCTTCTCACATTCCTCAGTTGCAGCTGCCAGTACAAGCAGCTGCATCAGCAGCAACGGTTGTTTCCATGCCAACTGCATAGCTCTAATGCATGGAAGCTATAGAAGCATATAGAAGCTACGAACGGCGGTGTCTTTGAAAGTTTGTCACTACCACCTTGAGCAAATCACCATCGAAGAGGAAAGTCAGATATGGATATGCAGGGCGCATTTTGAAGACCACAATCTCAGTATCTTTTGAAACTAGTAGTGTCAAGTTACAAGGAGAAAAAATGTTTATTCATATGGATAAGGTGGAGGATTTAACCAACAATAATAGAATGTATAAAGGGAATCAATATATGTACCAACAATATGATACATGCACATATAAATATGGTCTATGGTCATATCCATCCCATTGGGAATCGAAAAATAATTGATGATAATTGATAATGTATATTTTACATCTATATTAATTATATTAATATATAGAAATCATTGAAAATGGAAAAATAACAATCCCCCAAATGCCGAAATCGCACCTTGTGGGTTGCTGTCCTCTGCAGGCGAAAGTGCCTGACAAACAAACAACAACCCCGGAAAATCAGTAGTTTTGTAGGTAAATCATATATAAATCGTTCATGTTCATCAATTTTCTATGACAAACTGTTAGCTTACTGGATTTTGAGGCCATTTTCCACGATTGTCCGACTATGTTTGACTTGTTTATCAAATTATATCAGCAGATTTGTTGGCTGGAAAGTATACCGTTCACAGCAGGATGCCGCATCTCTAGGTTTTCTTAAGTCCCATCCTGCTGACTCTACAGTCACCTACAATCCATTAAATACATATCATATTATATGCATAAGTTAATATATATAATATATATAATATAATATAATAATATAATATATAATATAATATAATATAATACAATATAATATAATATAATATAATATAATACAATACAATATAATATAATATAATATAATATAATATATATATGTGTGTGTGTTACAGCATATCATGACCCCATTGCCCAAAAAGGGACTTTTACACACCAGCGTAAAAATCACCATCTCCGGTTTCCACAGATCCCAGACGGCGCCTGCCGATGATCGGCCTTGGTGAAGGTGAGGTGTAGACCACTGATGTACACCTGGTACAGCGGACGGATGATCGGTGATCATTGGTGAGGATTTGGTCAATTTAGATGCATAACTATTGATATGAGTCACAACTAGTGATAGTGATGATGATGATCATCATCAGCATCATCATCATCATCATCATCATTGTGATGATGATGTCAGTTGTTGCTGCTGCTGCTGCTGCTGCTGCGGCTGCTGGTGGTGGTTGTGGTGAGAACACGGTACGGCCGATGGGGGTGAGGATGAGGATGATGATGACATGATCGCTTCGAAAACTATTCTTGTGGTAGCACTCTAGTGGACATGGATCAATGCATTGATTATTGTTTCCGTCGCTCAATCATCAAACAGATTGAACAATATAATCGTCAAGCAAAGATGTAAATGTCATAGTTCACTTCAGAGAGTATGTGATGTAATGTAACTCGCTGCGGCCAAGAACAATTTACACCATATAAAAAGGCACTAATCACTAATCGGGATAATTGATCAACTCATATCAATTCACAATACCAAAATCCACAACATCAACATCTTCATCATTTAAGAACATCTTTTGTGTCACGGTTCCCCTTGATTTTTGGGGCTATCCACTTCCGGGCCCCATGCCTTGCAATGATCACTGACCAGCCGTCTCCACGGAACCAACATCTTGACCTTCCCGAAAACCCGGTGGAATGTGGAGACCTTTGCCAACTTCAATAACGACAGTGGGGACATGCTATATATGTATATGATTGTATATGTATATATCATTCTGTCAAAATTGCGGAGGAGAATGTATATTATATATATAATATAGAGTGTACTCTATGTCAAACGGTCAAATCTAAAACTACACCAAACATGATATATTATTTTAGACGCAAACAAAAAAGGTGACTACAATGCCATCACAAAAAAGTGAATGTAATAATTCACAAATGGGTCTAGTTGACTTTGACGAAGAGGCATGAACATGCACTTACCAGCTATTCTATCAATGCGTTTAATGATTGTAAAACAATAATAAACAATCCCTCAAATCACCATAAATATAAAAGTGGTATAAACCATTCCCAAATGTGTGGTTTATGGCATTGTTTCACCCACATTATATGAAAACCAGGGTGTCAAGAGGCTTTCTGAAGCATTTCCAACTCTGCTGAGGACTGAGGACCCCAGGCGCAACCCAATTGGGCTTTTGAGCACCGAAGACCCGGCACGTTCAACGCAGACACCTGGGCGAACGGGCGATCGCTTCGAAGGTACTCGCAGGTCGGGCGAGGGAGATGGGGAACATACATCATCTGCAGATCTACACGCACACGGATATATATATATATACATATAAACACATATATGTAAAAATAATCTTAAATATACATATATCGAATCCATATATAATGCATACATATTGTATTTTATATATATATATATCATACAGTAGTACACACTTAGATAATTATCGATTATGTACTATATATAGAGAGAGAGAGGGAAAGAGACACAGAGAGAGAGAGAGAGAGAAAAAAAACGACAGAAAGAACACACTCTGGTTCCTTTTGGCATATCCAGGTCAACATCTCTTTGCTGCGCTGCCATTATCTATCCATGTGGTCCCTATTGAGAAGTGCAGCACTGATTTCAGGCTTCCCACATTTATATATATATATATAATGTCTTTCCCGACATCTCATAGATGTAGAGTATGAACTCAGCCAGTTTTACTGATATAGTTTTACCAAGACCAATGTCGTTCCCCAAAGAACGGTCACCAGGCCCGGCCGCTCCGACCCTGGGACTTGGAACATCTAATTCCAGATTTTTCAGCTGCACTTGGCCGGACCAAAGCTGCACCTGCTGGATGGCTACGGCGCTTTGGGGATCAAAGTTGGAAAGACCCTTTATATTGCATATCAACATGTACATATATAACTATATATATATAGAAATATAATATCATGTAGTTTAATATAATATCATATAAGCAAATATACATATATACAACATACCCTCTGGTAATTTAACATAGCTATGGAAAATCACCATTTTTAATGGGAAAATCCACTATAAATCACCATTTTCAATAGCTATGTTAAATTACCAGAGGGTACATAAAATTTGAGTCATGAGTCTGTTTTGGCCCAACACTGCGATATAAAACTCACAATATTCACCCTGGATGCTGATCCCCGGGTTGGTTCCTTGTTTCATCAGGGACCACATTCATCCGCTGAGTGTGCACAGACTCCACGGAAAAAAATGGTTTCCACCATGAAGTTTGCTAGCTTTCAGGCCAAAAAACAGTCTTTCATGATTTTTGATCATGACTGATCATTTTTGTAGACACCATCCTCAAAAAGATAGAACAGTGAATCGAAAGTCATTGTGTCCTCATTTTGAAATATTTATATAGTTTGACAATGTTCGAATATATATATATATAGGTATATAATATGGGGATGGGTTAAAACCTATTGTTACCATATCTCTGTGAAGAAACATCCATTACCCAGCTATTTAAGGCTACCCTTTGGGTGCCAGGATTTGGCTCGCTGGGCGCCTCTAGCTGATCGAGATCGATATCTCGCCTCAGTGCTGAAAAAGGAGATGGACGATGATCTTCATTGGAAACGGCTTTGGGGGGTTACCTTAATAGTGGTTACTCTCTGGTAATTTAACATAGCTATTGAAAATAACCATTTATAGTGGATTTTCCCATTCAAAATGGTGATTTTCCATAGCCATGTTAAATTACCAGAGCGTAAACCTAGTGGTTAAATGGGTGTGTCTGAAAATAGTGTACCCCTAAACCCAATGGTTAATGATCATTATCCCTATTAAATGGCTATAATTGGGAGTATACTCTATTTTCAGACAAACCTTAATAGTGGTTAAATACTGATGAATGGTTTATAGGGGTGAAACACTGTTTTTTTTTGTGGTTCATAGTGGTGACGAACCACTAGAAGTTCTCCGTGGCCTTTCAGCCCAGGAAAATGATCGAATCATGATCTATGAATGGTGCTTTTTCCACATCTATCTGGGTAAATGATCTTATTTCACCCACCTGAATTAAGGCCATTTGGGGATGATGTCCCGAATCCTAACCATGATTCCAGGGTTCGGGAGAACAGTGAGGTCGCTATAATTTACGCAGATCTAATATATGTTAGAAAAGATAGAAGAGGAACTGGTTGGTGGTATACCTACCCATCTGAAACATGATGGAGTTCGTGAGTTGGGATGATGACATTCCATTCCCATATGGAAAGTCATAAAATTCCATGGTTCCAGTCACTTCCAGTCACCACCAACCAAAGTAAAATCCTACTAAAAGAGTGAAGACCATTTACTGTCTAGTCTACTTGGGGGTTCCTATCAGGATGATCAGCCGGGTCAAATTCCTGGCAAAGTAAGTCTTTACTCCTAGGGCCCAGATGGGCTGATTGGGCTGATTGGAACCAGAAAATGGGGACGTAAAACCAACCAAATGTATGAGATCATTGAATTTGAGGAAAAAATAACCAAAACCTTTTCCACCCGCTTGAATATGCTTGAATAAAACGGGTTCCCTGAGGAAACACACAACTTCACTTCTGCCAAATTGGCTCCTAAAAACATCACGACATTATATTTTGGTGGGTCCAACATCTGGTCTGGATCGGCAATCGCGGTGATCCATGCCACAGCTATGGAACGGCCTCGATCATCGTATGGTTCGGGGGAACGGATGTGGTCCCGGGCGTCTGCTCCATCTCTTATATATGTTGATTCGCAACCAAATATGACTGGTTGTTATGTTGATATCTTCACCGACCACCTATATAAGCCATCATGAATTACCCTAGTATCAATTATGCAAGGTTAACAATGAAAATAATAATGTATTTCAGATAATGAAAACATAACAGAACAAAACACTTCAGTATCATTTATAATTTCTCACCTTATAATCCATCC